AAATGTCGCCTCCTCAGGGACGTCTTTCCTGACCACTCCATCTAAAATAATTTTTCCCCATTATTCTTTATCTCTGCACTTATTTCTATCATAAGCAGTACTTGTTTTATTTATTTGTTTACTTGTTTGTCATCCTAGAGCTTACAGTCCACAGGCCATTGGAGAAGTTTCATTGCCATTATAAAGTAGATTATGGTGATGGTTGCACAACTCTCTGTAAATATATTAAAAACCATTGAGTTGGTATATAAAATACATCTCAATAAAGCTGTTTATTTTTTGTTTTACATTTTATTTCAGAGAGGAAGGGAAAGGGAGAAAAGAGAAAGATAGAAACATCAATGATGACAGAAAATCATTGATCAGCTACCTCCTACATGCCTCACATTGGGGATTGAGCTGGCAACCCTGGTATATGCCTTGACCAGGAATTGAACTGTGGCTTCCTGGTTCATAGGTCGATGCTCACCCACTAAGCCATGCGGGCTGGGCTAAAGCTGTTTTTTGTTTGTTTGTTTGTTTTTGTTTTTAAAGAGGTCTTTATGGATTTTTTTCCAGCAGAATAGACAATCTATGTTGAGAGAGGAAGAGCCGTTGACAGAAGTGTGGAATTTGAGTTACGAGTACACGGTACCTGTCCTCACGGAGATGGCTGTGGTTGTCCTGAGTCTTGTTTTCCAAAGGAGGTGGTTCTCTTACGCAGCTGGGAGGGGGAAAATCTGCCAGATTGGATCAGAATGACCACAATTTAGGTCAGAACTTCATACTTAAGGGGAAAAAAATAATCACAGTTTGAATAGTTACCCAGCTATTCAAAGTAAGGCCAACTGCAAGGCTCACTGACACATGTCACAACCCTCTGAACCCCCAGCCCTATGTCAAGGGGACAGAGGCTGGTGGCCATCATGAAGGTCCCCACCTGGGGACCTTTCTGGCTATGGCTCCAAGTGCATGACTCTGCTTTCTATACTCATCAAATGGGAAGTAATGTGTTAGCAGAATAAATCCTAGAATACACATTTCTTGGGGAGGAGATGGTTCTATGGGGGAGTTGAATCCTCTGCCTTAAGACCTCTTGTCATGGAAGCTAACTAGCTATTTAAACTGTCTCAATAGACTCAGTCTAGGATGGCAAAATCCTGCCCCGTTAGGCTGGTCATTATCTCCCAGGATGGCAGGTCACTAGAAGGGAACCCCACTGCACAGGACCCACTGTGGTGGCTGCGGAAGGAGTGACAGAGGAAGGAGTCTGGGGTCATCCACCACTTCCTGGCTGATTGCCTGTGCAACAATTGTACATTGCTGTTTTTGATTTAGAAACAGAAAGCCAGAGCTCACCAAGATTTTGACATCAAGTATTAAAGTGACTCATTCCTTCATTTCCCAGCAATCTGACAAAAGGGGCCTGCTCTTAAAACTCCTTTGTAGACTTTAGTGGAAGTCGACTCATATAGCTGAACAAGTAGCTAACGTAAGTTCTTGAGCAAATTTATTCAATGACTCTTCCCTTCTTTTCTTTTTCTTTTTTGCTCCTTTCGGTGAAGCATGACCTTCTAGAATTCCTGTTGCTCCCAAGCAAAGAGAAAAACCTCATCATCCTTTAATTCCTCTAGAATTATGTCTGCTGATCTTTAGGGTGTTGTTTCTTTCCCAGAATGAATCACCTAGAGAAGATTGGCCAAACACATGTAATATGATGACAACCTATAGTCATGTTGTTATAAGCATCTAATTTGAGCAGCTAATCTCCAAAGACTGCTTCCCTGTCTCATGTCATCTACACACACATACACACACACACACACACACAC